GATTTTATTTGATCTCAGAGAAACCAAACGGCTGAAACAGAAAAGCTGACCCAGGTCTCAGTTTGAGCTCAAAGCTTTGATCAGGTTCGTCCAAAAACACGAGTTTTACTCTGAAATCTAAATATTTGTTAATAAAAATCATTTTCACTCCTTTATGTTTTGTATTTTACAGCCACAGAGCTGCAGGTTCTGACAGGAAGTGACGCAGCAGCAGGAGGAAGTCTGGCTCCAGATCTGTCTTCTGAAGCAGGTAGGTGAAGAACTGGACCAGGACCAGGACCGGTTCAAGACACAAACATAGTTTATTAAATCCTAAACTAAAACTCTACAAACATCCTCTGAAAAACTGTTTTATAAAGTTCCTCAAAATTATACACGAGTAAAAGTATTTGACCATAAAATTACTTTGGTAAACGTTGGTCTTCTCTGAGAAGATTACTTGAGTAAAAGTCTCAAAGTATCAAGTATTCACTGTACTTGAGTATTAAATATAAAATTGAGCAGTAAATAAAGTAAAAAGTTGACAAATAATATTAACACAGTATTTGTACTACATTAACACAGTATTTGTACTACGTTAACACAGTATTTGTTTTATATTAAAACAGTATTTGTACTACAGTGACTCAGTATTTGTACTACAGTGACTCAGTATTTGTACTACGTTAACACAGTATTTGTTTTATATTAGCACAGTATTTGTACTACAGTGACTCGGTATTTGTACTACAGTGACTCAGTATTTGTACTACATTAACTCAGTATTTGTATTATATTAACACAGTATTTGTACTATATTAACACAGTATTTGTACTATATTAACACAGTATTTGTACTATATTAACACAGTATTTGTACAACAGTGACTCAGTATTTGTACTACAGTGACTCAGTATTTGTACTACAGTGACTCAGTATTTGTACAACATTAACTCAGTATTTGTATTATATTAACACAGTATTTGTACTACGTTAACACAGTATTTGTTTTATATTAAAACAGTATTTGTACTACAGTGACTCAGTATTTGTAATACAGTGACTCAGTATTTGTACTACATTAACTCAGTATTTGTATTATATGAACACAGTATTTGTACTGTATTAACACAGTACTTGTACTTGGTTACTTCAGACCTCAGCTGAAGGTCTGATGGATCTTCTGTGAAGCACGGTGGAGGCAGCATCATGCTGCAGACTGACTGGTTCTGGTCTGGGTTTCAGTCTGAGGTGCAAGAGGTCAACAGTTTCAATGGAACCCAGAGCCTGGTTCTGTGTGTGTGTGTGTGTGTGCTTGCTCTGTTTGATTGGCAGGTGCTGGTCCCTCCTCGCTGTGCGCTGCAGCGGACTGACCGGTACCATATGGACCTTTTATCCGTGCACACTGACCAGGACACACACCGCTGCCTCTGGACAGAACTCAGTAACCCGTTTAACACGGTGGTCCAAAGAACCGGACCCCCATGCATGCAGCGTGGAATTTAACCAGCTGAGACTCCGCCTGTTTCTGAGGTTCTGATCCCTGCTGCTGCAGGTTCTGTTCATCAGAACACCTGGTTGTGTCGGAGGTTCTGTTCATCAGAACTTAGACTCTTATACTGAAGGGTTTTATTTTGAAACTCCAGGTAAAAAACAGGAAGTTAAACATGTGACTCTGACAGGATGTGAGCAGCAGAGACTCACTTGGTGAAATAATAATAAAAATAGTTTTTAATTAATCGACTCAAAGAAAACATTTAGTAATAAATCAGATTTGAATAAAAACAGTTAAAACTTCAGTTCAGTCTGATGTAATAATAAAGTTTATTAAATTAAACTTGACTTTTCTGCCAGGATCAGTTTTAATTGTCTTCAGAGGTGAGCGCTCTTCCTCCTCTTCCTCCTTCCTCCTGCCTCCTCTTCCTCCTTCCTCCTCTTCCTCCTGCCTCCTCTTCCTCCTTCCTCCTCTTCCTCCTGCCTCCTCTTCCTCCTCTTCCTCCTGCCTCCTCTTCCTCCTCTTCCTCCTGCCTCCTCTTCCTCC